TCGACATAAAAAGCTACTTCTCCTCTCTTAAGATAAGATGGGTCTCTAGGTTGCTACAGGCAAAACAAGAAAATTGGACATTGATCCCAAAGCTATTTTTAAACAAATTAGGGGAAAATTACCTTATTTTTAGAATGAACTTAAATAACCAAACCTTAAAAAAACTAGATATAACTAAGGATATTCCAGATTTTTACTTAGATATAATAAAAAGTTGGATTTTAATTCATGAAACGAAAAACACAGAACTGAAAAACTTTGTCGAGATAAGAAAGCAAGTTATCTGGGGTAATAAATTTAACAAATTTCAAAACAAGCCGCTTATTATGCATAATTGGATACACAGTGATTTCATTTATCTTAATGATATTATTGACGACAATGGAAAAATTGCCCACGAAAAAATATTTAAAAAACTGCAAAACACTAAAAATTGGATTTCAGAAATTTCGATAGTCAAAAAAGCAATACCAACCTCATGGCTAAAAGTTTTAGCCAAGAAAGAATCCATCAAATCAAATGTAAATTTTAACAGATTATTTATCAATATAAACAAAGAAAACATTGAATTTGAAAATTTAAGCAACAAAAAGGTATATCAATACCTCGTTCGACAAAAAATTTCTCCAAACATCGGCATAAATAAATGGAAAAAAGAACTAGAAATCAATTACAATTTTACCAAATATACGTTTAAATTTATACACCAAAATTTAAAACTGAATAAACTAAAAATGTTTAGATGGAAATTGATAAGCTGCATTCTCCCAAATGGAGAAAATCTCTACAAATGGAAAATCGAATCTAGCCCCTATTGTCAACTTTGTCAACTTAAAGACACGTATCATCACTTTTTTATTGAATGTAAATTTCTAAAAGAATTTTGGGAAATTATAAATAAAATTTTATCTCAAATGAACTTTAATAAAAAAATCAACTTAAAAGATATAGTAATAGGCTACAAAATAACAGATAGCGAGTATATCGGATTCAATATAATTCTGACAATTATAGGATTTGCAATCTACAAATCGTACTATGTATCAAACCAAAGAAATAAATCTACTAATGTATTCATTCTCTTTAAATCTGAATTTGACGAATACTTTAGATCATACAATCTAGACAAAGAATACAATGCAGTCCGGGTGTTTCAAAATTTAATCTAAGGAACAGAAATTTGTTTTCTTAAAAAAAAAAAAAAAAACATTTTTATGATATTCTTAAGCAGACAGATATCTTAACTATATAAATAAATAAATTACTCACCTAATAAGTTTGAAATCCAAGGATAAAGATATAAAATCGGCAAATTCCACAATAAACATCCATTAAAAAGCATGCTCTCACCTTTAAACAAGGTAAAACATCCGATCAAGAAAATCGATATTCCACACATTTAAACCATGCAATTGATAAACGAGATGACAGTAGATAATTTATTTCGGATTAGTGTATCATATTATTATTGAACATTGTATTTAATTGTAAAAAAACAGTAGATAATTAATTTCGGATTAGTATGTCATATTATTATTGAACATTGTATTTAATTGTACTATTACTAATATAAAATATAAGAAAATACTACTTATCTATATGAAACCCTGTTCTTATAGATATTAACAATATCGGGGTACCTTACTGTTAAAGCTGTAGCGGTAAGGTCATTGTTAACAGCTTTAGTGCAATAAAACTTTATTCAAGTGTTAAAAAAAAAAAAAAAAAAAGAAAATTGTTTAATATTTTGACATGTACAGTCATGATATTACAATGTATGCACAGTGGTGTCTACTCCACTATGTAATGTACTTTAGTATATTGTATGTTTCCAAGAACAACCTCTGTACACTAGTGAGTCAAAGGAAAATAAAGTATGTGTGGTCACAAGATAGCTATCCGCTGTCATCCGGAATGTAAGAAAACGTTTCACTCTCCCTTATCTATTTAGAGGATTTTTTAAAAGAAATGTTTACATAAGCATCCAATAGATTTCGATATTTTTTAAATGAATGTCATTCTTATCATCTCTCTTTGTGTGAATTATTCCCTTTTATGACCTATAAAGATGAATTCAGGCAAAGGCACAACCAACAACCCCCTCTAAAATCTGGAAAAAATATTTTGCCTTGCTCTATTTGCCACAATTGTTGAGGTCCCACTACAACTTACGTCAATTCCTAACTTTTGATGTGAATGTTAATCTGTCTACTTGAATAGAAGAAGGGACAAAGGAACACAAATGTGTTAAACGGTTAAATTTGAATGAAGGTCATGAGGGGTAAATGTTGGTAAGACCATAGCATACATAGCAGGAAAAGCTTCATGACGTCAACGTCACCATCCTCATCCCCGAAAAAGCTACTTTTGTGATAATGACAAAAAAAATTGCATATTTGTTCTGTAAACACGAAATATAGGTATTGAGAAATGGGGAAGGCCAACTTTCTACTGCATATACATGTGCTAGCCCTGTTATCAGTTCTAAGTAATTTGTTTCTATTATTTCAATGATATATACTGTGAAAGTATGTGGTAGTTAAAATATATTAAACACATCATGTTATGAAATGTATTTATTTACTTACATTAGTTTCTGATATTTCTAAACTATATACCAACTGTTTATGTTTTATTTTACTTATCAAATCAAATCAAATCAAATCAAATATTTTATTGTCGTATAAACTTTACAGTTTGTGACCAACATGTATTAACACAATAAACATATATACATACATATCAAACATACACAATAAAAACAATAATAAGCTGTTAAGAGTCCCCTGCCCTCAGTTCTAATGACTTTTTCAAGAAGGATCCTAACTTATTTGTTTGTAAAGGCGTTGATGGATTTAGTAAATAATGAATTTTTTCTTCTTCATTTAAATTATTAAAGTTATTATTTTCAGTACATATGTGTTCAAAAAAGGCATTTCTTAGTGTTTTATTATAATCACAATAGAGTAAAAAATGTTTCTCATCCTCTAGTATTTTACATTTATGACAAAGTCGTTCCTCTCTTAGGATTTTAAAATATCTCCCCTTTTCAATGAAGAGGGAGTGATCACTTAGTCTAAATTTAGTGATCAATCTCCTTTTCTGAAAATTAGATATATTTAGATAAGATTCTAGTTTGCAATCCTTTTTAAGTTTTTTATATAGATAAAATTTACTTTTATCATCAATGTTTTCAAATTTAGTTTCAATTAAATCTTCATATCTATTTTTCATTTTTAACTTTATATCGTTTTTTATTTTATTTACATCTTTTATGTCCTTACAATTAGAAAAAATATTAAGGTCAATATTAATCTCTTCAACAATATTTTTTGCATATGTATACCATGAATAAGTTCAAGTCAAATCTAGAGACTGTGCTAGAGAAAAAGCTTCCTTTATCAATGGATTAATATTATTATTATATAGCCTAGCTAAATATAAAAGGGTTTGTGTTTTAATAAAACATTCTATAGGCTATCTTCCTAATTCAACTCTTGCTCCTAAATTGGATGCATTTTTTCTTATTCCTAGAGTAGATTTACAAAATTTAAGATGCATATTTTCAATAGGGGTTTTGTCAGTAAAATCAAGTTGATTAATTTGTTTTCCTGAAGATAAGGCTCTGTTTTTGGCTCATGACGTCAACTTATCGATTGTGGGAATTTTCCACGTTATAAATATACAAACCCACGAACTATAAATAACATAAAATCCCATATCATGCTCATTCTATCTATTTCTCGACCCTTGTTTATTTTCAACTTGTAAAATATAGGGAGATTTTCTAATTTATCCTACAAATGGTCATGATAAAGTCATGTAGATGAAGGCGACAAAACAAAAAGTTGTAGCGGATTTGTGTGGATTTGAAGGCAAATAGTCTGATATCAGTAATAATCCACTAGTAATGTTATTTTCTATGAAAAGCCAGGTGTCATAATTCCAACTTTGTAATTCTGAAATTGTAAATATGTAAATCTTTAATTTAGATTCCAACTTTTCAAATCTTAATTTGTAACAGCGCAACTCGACAATGAACGTTTAAGAATTGCAACTGGACCCATGCATGCAATCGTGTAATTGCAACTGGACCCATGCATGCAATCGTGTAATTGCAACTGGACCCATGCATGCAATCGTGTAATTCAGAAGTCTCTCCACTGAGATACAAAGATAATTCAGAGGAAGAAGATATCTAAATTAAAATAAAAGTATAATAATAGAATTTATGATTCAGCATAAATTTGTTTATTTGTGTAAGCTATGTTTGTCATTGGCCGTTCTACTTTTTGTCTAATGTGGGTTATCACTTATCTGATTGTGTATTCGTTTTTATTCTGTAGTTAGTCACCACTTTGGTGTTAACATGTATATCTATTATATAGTCATTTTTATAAATTTACTCTTTGCAAAAGTATGAATTATTCTAAATATTAAGGATTTTCTTATCCCAGGCATATCATCTTAGCCGTATTTGACACAACTTTTTGGAACTTTTGGTCCTCAATGCTCTTCAACTTTGTACTTGTTTTGGCTTTCGAACTTTTTTGATCTGAGCGTCACTGATGGGTCTTATGCAGACGAAATGCGCGTCTGGCGTATTAAATTATAAGCCTGGTACCTTTTGATAGCTATTATTTGTGTGTGTCTCTGTCCTGTATGTTCTCCCATTTATTTGTATTGAAGTCCTGTCATGTAGTCTTGTCATTTAAATGTTATATTTAACATTGCCATAAAAGCGGGAGGTCTGGCTAGCCACAAAACCAGGTTCAACCCACCATTTTTTTCTTAAAATGTCCTGTACCAAGTCAGGAAAATGGCCATTGTTATATTGTAGTTCGTTTCTGTGTGTGTTGCATTTTAGTGTTGTGTCGTTGTTCTCTTGTTATATTTGACGTGTTTCCCTCAGTTTTAGTTTGTCACCCGGATTTGTTTTTTTCTCAATCGATTTATGAATTGCGAATAGCGGTATACTACTGTTGCCTTTATTAATCACGCGCAGTATGACTGCGCATGCAATCTTTTCAATAGCTACATTCGACGGAAGCAGACGGATATATTTTGGTAATTTCAAAATATTCAGGATTCAGATTGTTTAGGTTTTTCTACTTCTTTTCCAATATCGGAACTCAGGTGGTATATTTAGAATTAGTCTCCCGTATGAATCGCGGGATGTTTTATTTAAATATAAATGTTTCAGAGCAAATTACATTTCAATTTATTGCTTATTTTACATGTTTGTATATTTTGTCTTATCCGGAGGTAGCGATCGGCGTCTTGTATTAATGATAATTGAGCTACTCGAAGTTTCTTTATGTAAGTTACATAGAAATCTATAAGTGTTTATGGTATTTCATCAACGAGATATCAACCCTTGACACCGATCTGCAAATAATTTCACTCCGGCGGTCACAGCTTCTTGTTAATTAATCATTGTGCATGCTCGACATACATCTGATTATTATTTTGTTACGTTCATTTTATTATAATAATTTTATTTATTTATCTATTTATTTATTTAATTGTTTCCTTCATGTTTGTATCACCACTTAATTAGTTAATATTACGAAGCATCGTTATAGATAGTATATTTAATACAACGATTATAATCTGTCTGTTTTTATTACATGTTTCATTATAAGAGGTTTTCATTATCAAAATAGATGTGATTTAATTAACGTTTAATATTCTGGTAATTATCCCTGTGAATGCTTACGTTATAACCTCGTGTGCTCTATTTTTAGTAGCTTATCATTCGGCACAGGTTGTTTAATCAGCCTCCTGGCACGTGTAACCTAGATTAGGTTTTTTGTTATCGTATTCTGACCGACATTTGTGTATAGTAAACCAAATATTTTATTTATGACATTGAAAGGTTAACGTACTTGGTTAAAGGCGTCAATGAACTTTTTGAGGTCGCTTTGTAATAAATACTTTACTTATAGTATAAAGCAATATTGTGTGTTTGTTCAATTATATTCTTATAGTTTTAGATAAGATGAACACAAGAGGGTCAAGGAAAAAGCGTATAGCAGCTACAAAAACAACAACATTAGAAGCTACTACCCGAGAAGAGGAAACACAGCCCCCAATAGTACCAGATCCAGTCCCTAACCATCCCTCAACTTCAGGAGGAGTAGCAGTAATGGACCCTACATCAGTTGTTACAAATCGACCAGGTAATGCAATTAGTGAAGATCATCTAATGTTTATGAAAACACCTACCTACTCGCCTAGCCTTGACGATGACATAACATTACATGTCAGTCAGAATTTAAAACAAAAAATTCAAAGGGGCGAGTATGTCGATTTTGGCTCTTTTATTGCATAACTCAGTCATTGATAATGACAAGCAAAAAGTCACTTATGAGCAACGGCAACTTGTCATAAATCCAGTTTTGCCCCAAACAAAGATCACAAACATCGAAACTTGGTCCGATGCCTTTCTAATTTTTATGAGTTTATATTGTTCTGTGCATCCCCATAAATTCCAAGACGTCTAAAGTACATGACTTCTATTCGAAAAGGTGCCAGACGTCATGGAGGTATCGGTTGGAAATACTATGATGAGCAGTACCGCTTGAAAAAAGCTCGAGACCCAAGTGGGTCGTGGGGTAAATTAGATTCGGAATACTGGATGTGGTATATTGGCTCCTCGTTTGAAAAATAGTAAGATTTTGTTTACAGACAACATCGCGTTGGTTGATATACTGAACAAGAGAACATCAAAATCAAAACGTGTAATGTCAATAATTCGACCATTCGTGTTGCGTACCATGCATTACAACATTCAGTTCAAGGCATAACATATTGTAGGTGCCAAAAATAATATAGCTGACGCTCTCTCTCTCGCTTTCAGATAGACAAGTTCAGAAAGTTATCACCATTGGCGGAGGATACACCGGAAATAGTCCCTCGGGAGTTCATATACCTGATCTCCAAACTGAAATTGACCGACTAATTGTATCAGCAGTCGCACCTAATACGGCAAAAGTTTACCAACAAGCTTTACGGTCATTTAAAGATTTTAGGGCCTTATTCCACTTCGAAGATCTATGGCCTATTCCATTACATCAAATAACTAACTATATTGCCTATATGTCATTAACTGGAATTGCGGCCTCAACTGTCAAATCGTATATCTCTGGGTTGAGTTTTTTCAGTAAGATTAACAATTATACTGACTGCTTTAATGCTTTTGTTGTCAGAAAGCTACTCGAAGGAATGAAGCGTTCTCAGCGTCGACCAAAGGATGCTAGGTTACCCATAACGCGTGATTTATTGTCAAAAACTTATAACGTTCTACCTGCTGTTTGTCATAATTATTTTGAAACTAAACTCTTCCAAGCTTGGTTTTCCTTGGACTTTGTTGGTTTCCTTAATGTTGTCGAAATAACCGCTTCCAACATTGGGACTCAGGTGGTATAATTAGAGTTAGTCTCCCGCAAGATTTGTGGGATATTTAATAGAATATCAGTGTTTTATAGCAAATTAATTTCAATTTATTCCTTCTTTTGCTTATTTTTACATGTTATAATACTTTTACTACCCGGAGGTAGCGATCGGCGTTGATTATAAATAAGAATGAAGCTATTAAATTTTCTTTATGTACTGTTACATAGAGATATACACGTGTTATTTTATTTCATATCAACGCTTGACACCGATCTGCAAATTTCACTCCGGTGGTCACAGCTTTATGCTAATTGAATCGCATGAACTCCAAAAGAAGCGAGACTGGGTACATCGACAGGATAATGATAATGATGTTTGCATCAGCTGACATGAGAATCAAAACTCCGTCAAAATGTCACAATCGGGGTAAAATTACAGATGAAACGACTATACTTGTATCCAAAGATAAATGACTGAGAAAACATGTCCCTAGTGAGTTGAGATATAGGCATATCGTTTCGGTCAATCATTTCGAGAAGTTTTCAATTTACTGCTATATGTGTTTTTTAATCATTTGTTAAGTCATTTAACCATTCAAAAGTTTGTTGATCTCTAAATAAATTGTAATAAACTGCGGTCTCAGAAAAAAATAATCGGTAGTCGCATACAAAAAGGACATAACTTAAACTCACGACACCACAAAAGCACACAAAAAAGAAGACAAAAGTAAAACCTCAAACAGGAGCACAAGCATACTAAAAACTGACAAATATTAGATGCCAAACATAAAACCAACGACATCAGCACAAACACACTGAGAACTGACAGAAAAAAAAAGAACACGAAACCAAGTCCAAAAAGAAATGCATGAACTCCAACTAGAGCTAGATAGGGTGCGTCGACAGGGTATCAAACGTCTCCTGCTATGCATGCTTACCCACCACGCGAATCCACACTTGGAACTAAGATACAAAATGTAAAATTACAGATCAGACTATTCTGAGACCGCGAAACTAATGTCGCCATGGTGTTGAGAAACAGACACATTGTATTAATTAACAAATTTATGATGGTGATCATACAACTTATGTAGTGTCGGTTTCAGTCGTTTCTTCCTCGGAACCCTGTTAAACACGATATTGTGTAAAGAGTACACCCCTGATAACGAAGACCGTATAATGAGAACACTCGCGAGCGTATCAACTGAGGAATTATGTAACAACATAAGATGGGAGAGGGGATTTATGATTGCTGATAATTGAGAAGTTGACAACAGGAAACCCGAAGTCATCAATTTTGTCATAGTTTTTACTTTGAAGTCGTCCATATTTGTTAATATCAAGGAAAATATCAAAGTATAAAGCACACGTCCTAGTGGACTTGGATATATGAGCTACAAGCACACACTCATTGAAACATGGTTATTGAGTAACCGGACATCAGAAAATTAGTAATATATTAATAACCTCGGTCTTGTTGACTTATTTGTGCGTCATTCTTTGCTTCAAACATATGTGCTTACAGTTTCATCGTGGTTTAAAGATAATTACCCCAAAACGATAAAAATGGTATTGCTAGTTATTACAGGGGAAAATCTAATATGAAGAGTTTTATTGACAAGTTTGTTAATGTTGGCTTATTTGCAAATTTTGTCTTGCTGGTAATTTCTCTTTTGTATAAAGTTACTGCTGGTTATATTTTTGAACTAGCAAAAAAACTCACACAAATAAATGTTTAAAATGAATCATCACTTCTTTGAGATGTCGATCAACAAATACGAGTTTGTTGATTTATCTGTAGATTTCGATTTGCTGTAACAGTTACCGTCTGTTGTATTCTTCATCATAAAACTAAAATACAAAATGGGTAAAAACGGATATTCAAGGTAGCCCAAAAGTCTTTTTGTAGGAACATACAGCTGTTTGTGTTTGAAATGATATATCTTTGCTATTTGATGAGATATAAAGACAGATAAAGTACTGAGAGAAATAAGTTCCAATGAACGTTTTGTTGGAACATGCAGCTGTTTGTATTTGAAATGATATGTCTTTGTTATCTGATGAGATAAAAAGACAGATAAAGTACTGAGAGAAAGAAGTTCTAATGAACGTTTTGTTGGAACATGCAGCTATTTGTATTTAAAATGATATATCTTTGTTATCTGATGAGAAATAAAGACAGATACAGTACTGAGACAAAGAAGTTCCAATAAACGTTTTGTTGGAACATGTAGCTGTTTGTATTTGAAATGATATATCTTTTTTATCTGATTAGAAATAAAGACAGATACAGTACTGAGAGAAAAAAGTTCAAATGAACGTTTGTTGGAACATGCAGCTGTTTGTATTTGAAATGATATATCTTTGTTATATGATGAGATATTAAGACACATAAAGTACTGAGATAAAGAAGTCACAATGAACGTTTTGTAGGAACATGCAGCTGTTTGTGTTTAAAATGATGTATCTTTGTTATCTGATGAGAAATAAAGACAGACAAAGTACTGAGAGAAAGAAGTCACAATGAACGTTTTGTTGGAACATGCAGCTGTTTGTATTTGAAATGATATATCTTTGTTATCTGATGAGATATGAAGACAGATAAAGTACTGAGAGAAAGAAGTTCCAATGACCATTTTGTTGGAACATGCAGCTGTTTGTATTTGAAATGATATGTCTTTGTTATCTGATGAGATAAAAAGACAGATAAAGTACTGAGAGAAAGAAGTTCTAATGAACGTTTTGTTGGAACATGCAGCTATTTGTATTTGAAATGATATATCTTTGTTATATAATTAGATATTAAGACACATAAAGTACTGAGAGAAAGAAGTCACAATGAACGTTTTGTAGGAACATGCAGCTGTTTGTGTTTAAAATGATATATCTTTGTTATCTGATGAGTTATAAAGACAGATAAAGTACTGAGAGAAAGAAGTTCCAATGAACGTTTTGTTGGAACATGCAGCTGTTTGTGTTTGAAATGATATATCTTTGTTATCTGGTGATATATAAAGACACATAAAGTACTGAGAGAAAGAAGATCTTATGAGCTAATACTTAGACACACTGCTACTCATATTTCAAAGGCAAAGCACTTATCTTTGCTTGAATGTTTTGGATTATCGAAATTGTCAATTTAGGTTTAACAGCAACCAGGTAATTTCATTTTGCATAGATAGGGATATAATACAAGCTCCAAAACAGTGTCCCAGATTTTTAATATAATGTTCTATGTCGGAATAATTGCTTGTTCTTTTTTTGTTTCAATGACCTTATTAATTACAAATATTGAATGATTTGTTTTGATATAAAAAATCTAAGACCCTGGTTGGTAACATTTTAAACCCATCGAAAGAAATCAGCTTAGTTAAGTATATAGTTTTTGACTCTTTTATCAGTGAAATTGTGAGTCCGTCAATAATTTTCGTTTCAATTCGTAAGCTAAATCAAATACTTTATATCGGATTACAGCCTTTCTTGAATATATGGTCATATAAAATGACAGAAAGAACCCTATTAATTTTGAAATTAATAACTCAAAGGTCAATGTCAACGTTACATTTGTGCAAAATTGGTTTCCAAATCAAATACTACATATATAATTAAATTCTCTGAAAACACTAAGTTTCGAATATGAAGATTGTTTTTTTTTTCAATTTACTTCCAAATATTCCGCCAATGGTACACCAGTGTTTTAAGGAACTCTTTTTGAAATGTTGTTTTGCTCTCTCTCCTCTAATATGTTACTTCATTTGTCTCAATTCCCCCTTTTTAATGAAATAGTTGTAGCTATTTGAATAGAACCACAATAATTAGTGTGCTCCCTTAAAGCTGTCAAATTTATGTTCACCGAATTTGACTCAAATTCTCACATTTGATTCATAACATACTAAAACATATATCTAAATTACAAAAAGTCTAAAACAAACAGTTAACAATGCATGGACTCGATAATATGTATCAGTATTTCGTGCGTATTTTAGTCTAGACACCATCTACCTAACAATCGAGATGACCTCCGACGAATACCGACGGTCATATAACCCGATATAAACATAAATATAAATATAGATAGATAGCGATCACGAGCAATTGGTGTTATTGGTTGAAAATATGTTAATCATCGTTTTTATCTGTATGAGAATGATTTTTGAGGATAGAATCAGTAAGCGCAATGGTTGTTTCACTTTCAATGTTGACATTCTTTTCCTTTTAATAACTAATCACGCCTGGAACATGCGTAACCAATCTCCAGCTAAAGGGTTAAATTGAAGGTCCCATGAATACGAATTCAATTGAGGTTAAATTATTCACTTGCAAGTAAATAATACATCAGCGATGATTTTTAGCTAATTTTGAAAACAATAGGAACAACCTAAATACTTATAACAAAATATTATTTCAAAATACCGCTTTTATTAATAATTGAAACAAATAGAATCGCTATTTATTTTTTTATCTAAATCGTAGCTAACGCCCCTTTAAGTCTACCATAAGACTGAGAGTAAATTTTTAAGTGATCATAACCACTGTATGTCATAAAACCCAACACATCATCATATGTTTTTTTCAATATCTTATTCATAAAAAAGAAGCATGAACACAATAAGGCGTTGATATATAAAAACTAATATACACGCGCAAATGAAATTACATAATATTATCAAAGGCAGACGTAGATATATCTTTTATACACATTGACCAACCTTGTCTCAAATAAATATCAGATATTTAACAATGTAAATAGAAAGTAAAGATTACATAAATATAAACAATACATTTGTTAAAAATCCGTACTACATATTACTTATTATAGTTTCTTGAGATGAAATTCAAAAGTTTAATTGTGGACGAAAGTCTATTTTTCCTAGTTATGGACATGGATAGACAGCTAATATATTTTGAGCAATTTGCCTAAATTGTTGAAATGATGAATAGATAAACAAAAATATAAAAATATTTATTAACTATATACTTTTAGATTAGACTGTCACGGTTCAAATAAGTAGATAAGATCCAAATTTATATCAATTTGTAACTGATAGCATGATAATACAGAGGGAATATAACAAAAAGTTTTGATTAGAACATATCTGTCAATACATCAATGAATTCCATCAAATGTTAAGCATACATAAAGCCTGTGTCTGTATTGACGTTTTGAATTTTAATAAACGTAAATGAAAACCAAGCTAAATGTTATTGCTATTGTTTCTTTTGTTACCTATTTTGACATCGGACTCGGATTTCTTTTAAACTGAATTTTACTGTGCGTATTGCTATGTCTTTCTTTATTCTACATTGGCTAGAGGTATAGGGGGAAGAGATCTCACAAAACATGTTTAACCCCGCCGCATTTTTGCGCCTGTCCCAAGTCAGGAGCCTCTGGCCTTTGTTATTCTAGTATGTTTTTTAATTTTAGTTCATTTATATGTTTTGGAGTTGAGTGTGACGTCCATTTCACTGAACTAGCACACAATTTTAGTTAGGGGCCAGCTGAGGACCACCTCCGGGTGCGGGATTTTCTCGCTTCGCTGCATTGAAGACCCATTGGTGGCATTCGGCTGTTGTCTGCTCTTTGGTCGGGTTGTTGTCTCTTTGACATATCCCCCATTTCCATTCTCAATTTTACTATTCACGGCCTTTCATTCTGTTGATACCTATAATTTACCGAATTAGACTATATACCGGATTTGTAATAACATAAGCAACTCGACGGGTGCCACATGTGGAGCAGGATCTGATTACCCTTCCGGAGGACCTGAGATCACCCCCAGTTTTTGGTGGGTTTCGTGTTGCTTAGTCTTTGGTTTTCTGTGTTGTGTCATCTGTACTATTATTTGTTTGTTTGTCATTTTATTTTTGGCCATGGCGTTGTCAGTTTGTTTTCGATCTATGAGTTTGACTGTCCCTCTGGTATCTTTCGTCCCTCTTTTAGCATTGCACAAGATCATGTTTTTCTCTGACGGTTAATGAGTCTTTACACTTAATCTATTGAATGTTAGATGTGTACCGTTGATACTAAAGTCTTCAATTCATGATATTTTTATAAGTTGTTATCGGCTATGAGCTAGCTTTCTGTAACTACTAGTACTCCAAAATCTGTACTTAGTGTCTCTAATGTTTTTGTTAGTTGTTTTTGTGCTTTGTATCGTTCTGATGAGTTATGCCCTTTTTAACGGATTTGTATAGTTTGTTCCTATATTGTGCATGTACACCGCTGTCCCGGGTTAGGGGAGGTTTGAAAGCCCGCAAACATGTTTAACTCCGCCACATTCTGTATGTGTCCCTGTGTACAGTCAATAGTCTGTAATTTAGGTTCGTTTGTTGCTGAATATCATATTTGTTTTTCGTACATAAATCAGGCGTTAGTTTTCTCGTTGAATTCTTTTACATTTTTAGGCCTTTTGTTCTTGCTATGCGGTATAGGATTTGCTCATTGTTGAAGGTCGTATGGTGACATCTAGTTTCTTATTTCTACGTCATTTGGTATTTGGAAATCACACCACATCTAAGTCTGAGCATTATGTATGTTTAAGTAATTGTATATCATGGAGGAGTTATATTTAATTTTACTGTTTGTCTAACTGGGTAATAAAAATGTTATTTTTTCAAATCTCTAATCTTTAAAAAAGTTAATTACCAATATTTCTGTTGACATTCTTTGACTTTATATAGCAATGTTATGATAAATGCATAGATACGATGAGGAAATGCTGCTTTTATAATGTTTAAAGGCATATATGTGAAAAATTTGTCATATCGGAACTGTGCAGATCAACTAGTATTATTGTTTTAAGGTGGTTGTAACACTACAGGGAGATAACTCTGTAAAAATCAGCTAAACGTTTTAATTACGTTCTATTGTTAAGGAAATAGTAAACTTCTCATTGATCAAAATTAGTGTTTGTCAAACTGCTATATATCAAATGAAATTTTTCGGATAAAGTGTGTGGTTCAAATTTTTGATTTTTTTTATATTTTTCTCAAAGGGTCAAAGTAAATATTTTGTCAAAATTTTTTTAAAAATTAACCGAGCCAAATTAGGTTTGGTAAAAATGCCATGGCGGTCGAGTATAGTAAAACTTTCAGGTCAGGCCGGGTACATTGAAATAACAGACAATTAACGACAAAAAATCCAATGATGTGTAGTATTGATGTTAAAGAAAATATACAAATAAATTGACTAATCTATGATTTATCAAAATTCCATTCCAGGCGAATATTTACATTATATACAGTTTACAAAATGTATGATTCAAAGATTCATCGGTACATCACTTTCACACGTTATCACAAACGGATTTCATTACATTCCGTATAAAAAATAAGCAACAGTGTCTAATACTGTGCACACAAAAACACCACGCATAGTGTCCAATACTATGCGGACCAAACCACGCAACAGTGTCCAATACTGTGCGGACAAAATCCACGCATCAGTGTCCAATACTGAGCGGACAAAAACCACGCAACAGTGTCCAATACTGAGCGGACAAAAACCACGCAACAGTGTCCAATACTGTGCGGACAAAATATCAAAACTAATTACAAATGAATAGTAATGTAGCACAACTTTCTATGAATCTATAAATGTCCTCCCAAGATCTGCCAAAATCTGCCGACATAACAAAATCCTTTTTAACGTTTCATATTGTATAGTTCTTTTCTCGCCTTCAATTCTCATCAACACTAAAACAGGAGGCCCTTATATACCCATCATTTCCAAATATTGTCCAACTGACCTAAATAATCTCCAAATATTCTCCAACTGACCTAAATATTCTCCAAATATTCTCCAACTCTTTGTTTACAAAAACAAAACATATAAATCATATAAAAGTATTTACTACGTGACCTAGAGAACATGCTATGTTAATCTCTTATAGCAGGATAGCTATTTAACTTAATGACTTTAACAGACAATAACCAAAACTTTAATAATATGACAAAATTAATTACAGTGGACGATAAAATAACACTCTATCACCACCTTAAATAATCCTGAATCTGTCTGCCAATGCTAAGTTATACATTGACTTGATGTCAAACACAAACGGATCACAAACATACCTAGATGAAATATTTAACATTACCATCGAGTATACTTTTAAACTAAAGACTGCAAATTGTATATAAATTGAAAAAAAGATGCCAAATATCAAAGAAATTAGTGTACTGCTATAGGTAACTGGCCATTCTACTGGTTCTCACTCCTCAAGAATTAATTGTATCTCTGTCTGCAGTATACACACTCAGGGACGATATCATCCATCAACTAGACGGTGGTTAATCAAAAGCAAAAAGTTGTATTCCTTGCAATTGTTCATTTTAACTTCATTAGTCAATTTATTGTTCTACCTGCAAGAAAAGAGTGTTATGTAATTTTGTTTCTCCTGAAAAGGCAATGATTTGATGTTTCTCAATGCAGATACCTTAATACACAAATAAAAGAAGTTCATTTCTCCACTGTATGCATGATTTATTCCTTCTTCAGAAATATGTATGTCACAAAAATTCTTATGACATTTACTGATTGAAACCCAGTTAATTATTTGAAATATCAACATCTTTAATCGTCATCAGAAAATTCTAATAGAAAAAATGTCTGTATGAAATAAAATCTTATAACGGGATTGATGGTATAAACAATGGACAATAGAAATATATATCTGCTTGGAATAATTGAAAATTTTTTACCTTTCTTAGGTCATGGGGTAGCATTCAGGTTACAAGCTTCCAAGAAACTTCTTTCTTTGATATTGGAATCTGTCATATGGAAATGAAAAGAGAAGGGAAATATGAAATTCTTTTTCTTTTTTGACACATATCAATCATATTTTGAAATATAATGCAACTTATTTTTCTTACTCAAAACTTCAATTCATCCTATTTCATATTTAAAAAACTGACATAATTTTGAAAAGTTTGAATTTTTTCCTTTCATTGCAATTTTGGGGGCTAGTTAACGCAACATGAGATAATTGCTCATAATAAACTTTACATCTAAAATCAAATGTACCATTAAAGTTTTCTTACCCGTGAAAGGTTGGCAATGGTAATATTTTCCAGGTCGTGTCGATTTCAGGAAACATTCCTCTAAATTTGACGTGTTGCATTCCTTTAAATTAGGCTGTACCAATTTTAAGGTGCATACACGTGTTGTTATGACACTACACATGAACCCATCATAACCTTTGTTACAGGTACTTTTCAACAGATCTTGAGAGTAGCTAGAGCAACTTGCATTGCCTCGGTTTGGAAATTGAATGTTGAAAATTTCTGCACACCAATTACCTACATGAACAAAGAGTAAACAAATGTGATACAATTAAAAAGAAAAAAAAAACACCAGCTTAAATCATGTCAAAACAATAAACCCTTAACATATCGGACAGACATCAACCAACGACTACCACTGAATTATAGACTCATGAATTTGGGTTTAACATATTTGTGTGCACTTAAACCTCATATACCAAAGGGACATTCAAACTCATAAGTCGAAAATAAACAGACAACGCCGTGGCTAAAAATGAAAAATACAAACAGACAAACAACACTACAAAAACACAACAAAGAAAAATAAAGACTGAGCAACACGAACCTCACCAAAAACTTGGGTTGATCTCCGGTGCTCCTGAAGGGTAAACAGATCTAGTTCTACATGTGGCACATGTAAAAATATCTACAATTCTAGTTGTCTAATTGTTTCTTTTTTCAAAATAGTTTAATATATTCAGGTAGACATTTATTGTCGAAATGCGCACCTGGTGCAGAAAAATTGGTACCGTTTATGTAATTGCTACCACTGGGTCGATGCCTCTGCTGGTGGACTGATAGTCCCCGAGGGTATCACTAGCCCAGTAGCCAGTACTTCGGTACTGGCATGAAAACTCGGATTTTGTGTTATTAAAATTTGCTGTTACAAAATTTTGAAAATTATCTAAAATTAAGGAATGTATCTCCCTCATGCAAAGCTCTGATTCCTTGCCCGGCTTTGGCTTTATTTTTTTGTCCCTTTTGGTTTATAGCTCTTCATCTTTTTAATAAGCTTTTGATTTTCAAATATTTTGGCCTCGAGCATCACTGAAGAGACATTTATTGTCGAAATGCGCATCTTGTGCAGAAAAATTGGTACCGTTTATATTATTGCTACCAATGGGTCGATGCCTCTGCTGGTGGACTGATAGTCCCCGAGGGTATCACTAGCCCAGTAGCCAGTACTTCGGTACTGGCATGAAAACACTGATTTTGTGTTATTAAAATTTGCTGTTACAAAATTTTGAAAATTATTTAAAATTAAGGAATGTATCTCCCTCATGCAAAGCTATGATTCCTTGCCCGGCTTTGGCTTTTCTTTTTTGTCCCTTTTGGTTTATATCTCTTCATCTTTTTAATAAGCTTTGGATTTTCAAATATTTTGGCCTCGAGCATCACTGAAGAGACATTTATTGTCGAAATGTGCATCTGGTGCAGAAACATTGGACAGTTTATGTTATTGCTACCACTGGCTCGATGCCTCTGCTGGTAGACTGATAGTCCCCGAGCGTATCACTAGCCCAGTAGCCAGTACTTCGGTATTGGCATGAAAACACGGATTTTGTGTTATTAAAATTTGCTGTTACAAAATTTTGAAAATTATTTAAAATTAAGGAATGTATCTCCGTCATGCAAAGCTCTGATTCCTTGCCGGTTTTGGCTTTTCTTTTTTTGTCCCTTTTGGTTTATAGCTCTTCATCTTTTTAATAAGCTTTGGATTTTCAAATAATTTGGCCTTGAGCATCACCGAAGAGACATTTATTGTCGAAATGCGCATCTGGTGCAGAAAAATTGGTACCGTTTATGTTATTAAAACAGTCTAGTTGTTATTTTTTTGTATAATGTTTGAGTATATATGTATACAATTATAACAGTCTAACTGTTAATATTTGCAGAATGGTTAGTATATTTGTTTACAATTATGACAGTCTAATAACACAGAATTCGTAAAATATAAGATAGTATATATTGACGAGACATGTAATGGTATTTTTTGTATGAATGACTGAAAACATTACTATGACTAATATGTTTAAACTCAAAAACAATACGATAGTATAATTACTTACAATTTTTTTTAGAGTCATCGGCTGCTCGACTTCCCAATTCTTTATCTTTGACACAGTGCACTGTCTTGTCACAGAAGCAAAACGATGGAAGAATGCTTCCATCTGTACATTTCTCGCACACATGACTACCTAAACGTAATACACAATTATTTGGTCATAAATACTTTAAAAAAAGTAGTTCATATTGCATATTCCATTTGTTCTATTACTAGCCACGTGCAGTCGCAATGTTTGGACATCTATGGAAAATGTGGTGTATAGTCATGTCCAATATCTTATCCTTTTAATGTATTGTCTAATAAAGTCCTTTTTGTTAACTAAAAATTGGCGGGAAAGCGATTTTGCATTAATGATAATGGGTTGATGCTTAACATCCAATGACAACTATTACATGCTTATCAGGACGAGAACATGTTTATGTAATCCTTGCTTTGTACTGGACGTAAACTCTGATCTCTAGTTTTCTTTTGCGTGATAATGCACTAGGTAAGAGTCCGCGAAGGCATGCCACTGGACCCGCACATATTATTTCTAAAGTCGCGTGCGTATCAAATTCTAATTTTCAAGGCTTTAGTTTGACCCGGCTGGGGATCGAAAAATATCTCTCGCAAGCAAGGCTACATATCTGTAGCTTTTGTCTACATTATCTTGGTACCATTAGACTAACGAAGTTACAATTATATTGTAATAATTCTCAGATAAATAAACGGTAAGTGCTTAAACAAAAAACAAATACAAATATTGTTATTGTAACAGGGTTTAATGTCAATACACTTTGCGCTTTATTTTTTCACCGTAACAATTGATCCAAAGTTCGACAAGGTAAAAGGCACAATGTCAGATCAGCTGGGAGGATAAACTGACCTAAAGTTCAACAAGATAAATTGCACAATGCCAGATCAACTAACAGGATAAATTGGCCACGAAGTTCGACAAGGTAAATGGCACAATGCCAGATAAATAACGTGATAAACTAACCTAACGTTTGACAAGGTAAATGGCACAGTGCCAGATCAGCTAAGAAGATAAACTGACCTGAAGTTTGACAAGGTAAATGACTCAATGCCAGATCATCTAAGAAGATAAACTGACCTAAAGTTCGAAAAAGGTAAATGGTACAATGCCAGATCAACTAACAGGATCAAACTGATCTACAGTTCAACAAGGTAAATGGCAAAATGCCAGATCAACTAACAGGATAAACTGACCTAAAGTTCAACAAGGCAAATGGCACAATGCCAGATCAACAAACAGAATAAACTGACCTAAAGTTCGACAAGGTAACTGACACAATGCCACATCATCTAAGAAGATAAACTAACCTAAAGTTCGACAAGGTAACTGACACAATGCCAGATCATCTAAGAAGATAAACTAACCTAAAGTTCGACAAGGTAACTGACACAATGCCAGATCATCTAAGAAGATAAACTAACCTAAAGTTCGACAAGGTAACTGACACTATGCCAGATCATCTAAGAAGAAAAACTAACCTAAAGTTCGACAAGGTAACTGACACAATGCCAGATCATCTAAGAAGATAAACTAACCTATAGTTCGACAAGGTAACTGACACAATGCCAGATCATCTAAGAAGATAAACTAACCTAAAGTTCGACAAGGTAACTGACACAATGCCAGATCACATAAGAAGATAAACTGACCTAAAGTTCGACAAGGTAACTGACACAATGCTAGATCATCTAAGAAGATAAACTAACCTAAAGTTCGACAAGGTAACTGACACAATGCCAGATCACCTAAGAAGATAAACTGACCTAAAGTTCGACAAGGTAACTGACACAATGCCAGATCATCTAAGAAGATAAACTCACCTAAAGTGTGACAAGGTAAATGGTACAATGCCAGATAAACAAACAGGATAAACTGACTTAATGTTCAACAAGGTAAATGGTACAATGCCAGACAATGCTTAAACAAAAAACAAATACAAATATTGTTATGGTAACAAGGTTAAATGTAAATACACTTTGCGCTTTATTTTCTCACCGTAACAACTGATCCAAAGTTCGAAAAGGTAAATGGCACAATGTCAGATCAACAAACAGGATAAACTGACCATTATGTTCTCGGGGATATTTCGCTATAGTGTACAAATTAAGATGACATCATAGAAACGTTCAAGTTTATTTTAATACTGGTACTTCTTAAAACAATTATCTTTCATTCTTTTATATTAATACAAACTTTGAACAACATGCAACGTTTCAAGGTGATGTGATCACACCTTAATGGGAATCTACCTTCAAGTCCGTTGAACGGGGTTCTATTTGTACTACTTGCAAAACATCATTTCCTTAATAGTACTTAATAAAAAGTGCATGGGGTATTCAAGACCGTCTTATAGGCTGATGTATGATTGTTTTTGAAGATTCATATTGAAAGCATACATCTTATAAACAGGTTAAACACTTTGAGTGTTTTTGTATCTTTTAAACCGTTAATTAAGAGTAAAGTTAACATCATGAACATTTAAAAATCATTTAGATAGTCCAAACTCTCTTTCTTTTCTTTGTTTGAGCTGACATTATAGACTGTCCGAGTTAACTTTAGAAACGTGTCCAAGCTGACTTAATAGATGATCGGAGTTGACATATTATAGGTCCGAGTTGTCTCCAGGCTGAGTTGTCCCATATTCCTCTGATTTAGTTTACCATGAAGGTGTGGTCATACCAATTTGAAACTTAGTAATATGTTCATTGCGAAGTAAACTTTTTAAATTGATCACAAATATGATTTTGATCAAATAAAATTTCACAGATCATGGACGTAGGATATTGTGCATGGTGTCCTATAAGTGTCTGAATATGGGTTACAAAATACAGACTAATGGGTAGCAGTGCAAAATAAAGGGCAAAACTATAAAGAATAGAGAAAATTGGTCAACAAAAATATAAAGAATAGAGAAAAATATGTCACAAATCAAAAGATTTGAGATTAATGGGGTTCTGAAATATAAAGAATATAGAACGAGGGTAAAACTAAATAAAAAGTGGAGAAAATTGGCCTTATCAGTTAAAAAATAAAGAAATGAAGGGCCACCCATCACGACCCTCTCATAATGAAGACATATTCTAGTTATAATCTATGTTTGCCTTTCCTAAACTTATCCTGAAGTGACGTTGGTATACCACAATTATAGTTACTGTATATGTTAATTACTTACTTTCCGATTTCTCTTTACCAATACTACATATTTTTTTTACAAATTCTGATCCTGCAAAATATGGTATAATTGTTCGATAAGAATTTTCGTGTGTAAAAGTTGAACTTTTCTATTTATTTTATTTTTTAACAATTACAAATGGGTGAGTTAAGTACAAGGTAAATAATTCACAAAGCCAGATAACTACTTGTTTTTGATAAACAAAACAATTGCCTAATATTTTTTTAAACTTAATGACCATGAAGGAACTCATTACATTTCATTTATGTGAAATACTTCCATCAAATGTGATAGTTCATCAGTTATAATACAAGAATTTCTAAATATCTAACTATATGGTAGACCAATCTAAATTATAATACTTACCTATTGTACATACTTCTTCATATGCAAATGTTTCACTTATAAGTTTTGTCAGAAAATCTGAAATTTTTAACAATTTTGTCAAATATTTACATTCTGCCTTTAAAACATGTCAGTGGTACTTTGAATACACATGTGCACAGTTTCCAAGTTGTGTCAATGTGTTATTATATGTTTTATCCGTTTCCTGCTGTACTGAGTTTTGATTTACTACCAAATGTTTATGATTTTCTCTCGAAAAATGAAAAAAAAAATTAAGTTATTTGTCTTTTCTTCACTTTTCTATTGGCCAAGGATGACATTGTGGGTTTTCCCCCGATAATGTTTTTTTTCCATTATCCATTCCGTATACTAGTATTCTGTCTCTATTTATGCTTTCTCATTAAGTAACTTCTTCAGTAGCGTGTTTGATATAACAATGAGGAGATGTGGTATGGTTGCCAATGAAGATAACTATCCACCAGACACCAAATGAAGTGTTAGTAAGCAGTTATAGGTCACCGTACTGCCTTCAACAATGAAAAGAAACATAATGTATATTCGGCTTTAAAAGGCCACGACATTAAAAATGTGAAACAATTTAAATGAGAAAACTACCGGCTAAATTCATAACAAAACAATTTTCGAAAAACAAATATGACAGACATGAATCAACGACAACCACTATACTACAGGCTCCTGAATTTGGACAGGCACATACAGAATGAGGCGGGGTCAAACATGTTTGTGAGCACGCAACCCTCTCCCTAATCTGGAACAGGGCTTTAACAGCACAACATAACAACAAACTCCAAAATCCAGTTGCAATTGGCTTTACTGAAAAGATCGGTACGAGGAACAAAAGCCACTAACATAAAACAATACACACAATGCACCAAAATAAGAGTACTCGCAGTTAATGAAAGCTAGTTCAAAGTCAATTACAACTAACACATAAATCATGTTCGTCGTTTATTATATATTGAATCTAAATTTTCCTGTATGTGAACAAGAAATAAAGTACATCTTTAGGGTTTTGATGTCTCCATAGCTACCAAAAAGTTTCCATAAGAACTACTCACCTTCAGATGTAATGTAAAGGCACTTATTTATACCTATAAATTAAAAAAAGAGAGATGAAAATTAAACACTTCTGTGTAACTGTTAACTATTATGTTCTTTGCTACATTTTACATACATTTATTTTCTAAATAATATTCAACGAAGACTTTAATTGTTTTGTTGTGCGTGTTTAGTTGGCGTTGCACTTTTTAGTATAAAACTATATAGGAAAACTACTGGAATTATTACATGATATACATTTATATATTAGTCCTAATTTGTTCTGAATATTTACATGAAAAAATTCGTCACTGTAGTCATTTTGTGGGGAAAATAAACGCAATAAAACTTACTGCTGTCAATCCTATAAGGAAATTGTGTTTCATTCCTGATGTCCTCTGCATCCTCTTGATTTGATGTATTCCTCCATGCATTTACTATTCCTCCCACTATCGCACCTATGACTACCAATATAACCTAAAAGTATTGGGAAACAAATTAATAACATCATATGTATAATGTTTATTTCTCGGGAAGTAGTGCATTTAAAAACATCAGATAAACTAGATTAGTATTTGAACTAGATGGTTTTCTTTTTTTTATACAACGTCTCATTTTTAACATAGTATTAAACGTCTAGGTCAAACATATGAGTTAATATTTGTACCATAAGTATAAAGTAGCAAATTAAAACTTACCAAAACTACAAGTGGTACCTGAAAAGAAGATATAGCAAACGTTTTTAAAATAAACTTACAAGTTTGTTAATAATGTCCCGAATTATGATAAGCAACAAAAAGTCAATACACAATAAAAAGAGTATTGAAAATATGATAATATAAAAGTCAATGAAGCGTACAACGTAGGTCAGATTGACCTCACCAACGTTTTATGGGATACTGCTATTATATTCTAAGTGCATCTTTTCACGAAGTGTAACAAATGCAGGTCCGTTAGTATATAAAATAGAATATAATCGAATATGAGTTCAAAATGTCATAAAAGCCACTGAACCGTCAAATGTTTCATTTGCTTTTTTAATATTATAGTACTCGATCAGATTTTTCTGTAAAAATAATTTTACATACTATATCTGGTTGGTTTGTTAGGCAATCCAAACCACTTGGTGGTTATACACAGGAAACAAATCGAGTGCAATCAAGGCATAAATAATTGAAGCATGAACTTGTGTATAACCTTTTGAAAAATATACGATGTAGTATATCAAACGTGTAACGATTATTTATAGTATCTATCAAGTTTTTATAACTTGAAGTTGTACAGTTCTATATATAAGTTAATTTCTATTCATTCTGTCATCTGTAATTATAATATATTATATATAATTTATGCTCCTGTAGCGCAGTAACTTCCTCTGAGTTTTTTTGATAAAGTTTTTGAAGATCTCTCAATATTTGACACTAGACATTGACACACCGTACAACCGAATCGTGTCATTGCAATCAAAAACCGTCAAACATAGTCACAAACCATTGTTGACAAGGACAACGTGACAGAAAAAAAGGTAGGTAATTTTGAGCTAACAAAAGCATTGAAATAAGTGAATTCAAATGATATAGCCTTGTATCTACTCAATTTAACAAAAAATTGTGTCAAAGAATGCCAGAATAAATAGACATATTTGGTAAAAGTTTACAAGGTAGGATTGCGTAAGATATTTTCCCTGACCGTCGCATGATACTGACACACATCAACTCTTGTGATGAGATGATACAATCAAAACCCGTCGGTAAGTAATGTTTTTGTTATACCACTAGAACGTTTTATGAGTGTAAGGATCCAACAAACCGGATTAATCAAGCTGAATATAATACGACTGTCCCAAGCAAAGAAGATGTTTAGTCTTGTCAATCATTGTTTTGTGTTCAATTTTGCAATTGAGATGTCTTTCAGATAACTGGTGGGTTTTTTTATAAAATTGTTCACTTTTGAATTATCAGGAGGGAGTTAAGAGCTTGCCGATTGGACTGTCTGTTGGTTTGGGGTTTTATTTGTCATAAGAATTTTCCGCAACATAGTTTTCTTCATCGTCGTACTTTGAATGGCAAAACTACTTTTATCCATGTCACTTCTACTTTGTTGCAATAAAATTAAATTACATCATTCGTTCTCCCCATTTTTTGCCTTGGTAAAGTCCATGTTTTGCTATGTGGAACCCAAATATTATTCAGAACAAGTCTTAAATAGGTAACGAACAATGGCATTTTGTTAAGTGCATAACGATTCTGTGAAAGTTTCATTAAAATTCATCCACTGGTTTCGAGGAGTTGCAGATAAGCGATGGATACTTCATGATACTCAACAATAAAATCTGGTATTCCATAAGGAAACCCCCGCAGTATGGGATACACATCTCTAATATGTATATTAGAATGTCTGATGTTTTCTCCGAAATCCATTAACAGGTTAAGAAGTAGCTGCGTATAAGAGAAAGGACCCCTAATGTGTAAAACATTAATAGACATTTTTGGATAAGTGAACTCCCAAAAATGGAAATATGTTTTTAATCTGAAGTAGGAGGAGTACATTTCTTATGTATATGTAAGAATGTCTGACGTTTTCATTGAAATCCATTCACATGTAGAAGTATCGGCATTCGCCATGCACCATCCGTGTGTACACTCAGTTACCTAGTTTGGGTCGTAAACTCTTACATGCCGGGAAAGCGTTAACTGTCTCTGCTATGCCAGTATATGTCGTGTAATGTGGTACAATTCTAAATATTTTCTCATCGGAAATTACAACTCCTAAGTTAACCCATTCACAGTGTATACACAGAAAATTGAATAGAAAAAAGTATGTACGGTCATTTGGAAGTAAACAAGTTGCTCAAAATGACCACAGATTATGGCAAGTCGTATATCTCATATAATATTTAAGATATCTTATAAAATCTAGTTTCTATATAAGATATCTCATATATTTTATAAGATATCTTTTATACATTATAAGATATCTTATATACTTTATAAGATATCTTATATACTTTATAAGATATCTTATATATTTTTCCTCCAACTATCCCACCTATTACTTATAATGTAACCTATAATGATTGGAGGGAAATTAATAATATTATATGTATAATGTTTTTTTTTCGGGAAGTAATGCATTTAAAAATATCTAGGTGAAGTAGATTCATATTTGAACTAGATGGTTTTCTTTTTTTATATACAACGTCTCATTTTTAACATAGTATTAAACGTTTAGGTCAAACGTATGAGTTAATATTTGTACCATAAGTATAAAGTAGCAAATTAAAACTTACCAAAACTACAAGTGGTACCTGAAAAAGAAGATAAGGCAAACGTTGTTAAAATAACACAAGTTTGTTTATAATGTCCCGAATTATCATAAGTAACAAAAAGTCAAACATAATAAAGAAATCGTAATGTATTGAAAACATGATAATATAAAATTACAGTCAATGAAGCGTACAACCATACCCAACTATATCAGTCCTATTCAGGACCAATAACTCTGTCGATAAATATTTGTGGGTAAACAACGTTGAAATGTATGCAATAACATATTTTAGTACACAAGTTAAAATTTCAATATTGATTTTTTTTAATGCCTGGATTTTGCTTCAAACATTGAATCAAAAAATTAATGACAAAAATCATATGCAATGAAGTATCGTTTAATTTTCTATGAAATAAAAACATCTATTGAATATAAAATTTTAATTAGAGTATTTGTTTTTTTACAAAATTATCGTGAACCATTAAAATGTAAAATCACAAAAATACTGAACTCCGAGGAAAATTAAAAACGGAAAGTCCCTAATCAAATGGCAAAATCAAAAGCTCAAACACATCAAACGAATGGATGACAACTGTCATATTCCTGACTTGGTACAGGCATTTTCTTATGTAGAAAAAGGTGGATTAAACCTGGTTTTATAGCTAGCTAAACCTCTCACTTGTATGACAGTCGTATAAAATTCGTTTATATTGACAACGATGTGGGAACAAAACAAACAGACATAATAGGTAAAAATGTCAAATTTTTTTTTTTTTTTTTAATTTTTTTTTTAAGCAAAAATCAACTTATTCAAGAATTTTTCATAATATTCATATTTCCTTAAAGTTCCTTATGATATATTTATTTCTTTGGTAGTGAACACGTGAAAGAGAATTATATATTTGTACATTTTAGAAAACATTTGTATATCATAACACTAAACTCTGGAAATACATGTTTACACAAGATGTTAATGTCACCTGATGGCTTTTGCTTTGTCACGATTCCTTTACATTACCTGACAATTTGTTGTCATGTTATATTATTACTTAAATCTGAGTTAATCTGTTCGTATATTGGTCATAGAAATGTTAAAGGTACATAAACTTTAATTTGAACAAAGCATTTATCTATTATTGTGCATGTTTTTTTTTTCTCTCGAGATGAACATTTTTTTTTCAAAAAAAAATATATAATTTTCCTATTATAAAGATAAATTACACAGAAAAAGGGAAAAAATCTTTAAAAAATTTTAAAATATTTTTCTTATAAATTTCAGTGGTAATTATTTTTTTCACTTCACACTTGAAATAATTTGTTTTTTATCACGAAATTTAGAAATCAAACATATCAGAATATCAAGGAAGAAAATAAAAGAAACAGCACAAATTCTGCATGAGAAGTACAAGATGTTTAAAAATGCATGCGACACTTCCAAACACATCCGCCATTTTGAAATATCCCGAAAAATTCACTTTTAAAATCGATGTGGGACGTAATTTCCCCTCGAATTAAACTGTTAAAATTACCTGTTTTGCTAGATATATATGTTGATATTTTCAATATAGCTGCAAAGTATTACTTTTATCTACAAAATTTGTGAATTTGTTGTACAAATAGACATGGAGTCAATAGATTTACCATTGAGTCAACGAGGAAATGACGAGAAAACAGTACGATTTTTACGAATTTCCAGGGACGTAATTTAATCAAAAATTAAACTGTCAGGACCAACATTTTAAGGTTGAATTATGTTCAAATATCAAGGATATAGCTGCAAAAGATAGAAAACGGGTTAGATTAATGAAAAATTGAACTTTAATGAAGCACCTATGCATTTTATATGGGACAAAATGACACAAAATGGCGGCTCGCTACGTCACAAAAGTCACGTGAAGTCTTACTTACATTTTGTAGTTGGAAATGGTAGGTCAGATTGACCTCACCTAGTTTTTATGGGATACTGTTATTATGTTCTAAGTGAATCTATATATGACGTGTTACAAATGCAGGTCAGTTGGTATATAAAATCGAATACAATCGATTATGAGTTCAAAATGTCATAAAAGCCACTGAACCGTCAAATGTTTCATTTACTTTTCACGTTATAGTACTCGGTCAGATTTTTCTGTACACATAATTTTATATATTATATCTGGTTGTCTATTAGTTCTTACAAATTACAAACACTGGAGTCAAATAAAACTGTAGAATATATTGGTAAAATACGCCGTTTGTCTTCGCCGAAGGTACTCCAATCGTTCTCATCAACATTGTTAGGCAATCCTAAGCACGTGGTGGTTATGTACAGAAACCAAATCGAGTGCAATCAAGACATAAATGATTGAAGCATAAACTTGTGTATTACCTTTTGAAAATTATACGTTGTAATATATCAAACGTGTTACGATTATCTATAGTATCTATTAAGTTGTTATAACTTCAAGTTGTACAGTTCTATATTTTAGATAATTTCTATTCATTCTGTCATCTGTAATTATAATGTACTATATATAATTGATGCTCCTGTAGCGCAGTTACTACGTCTGAGTTTATTTGATAAAGTTTTTGAAGTTCTCTTAATATATGATACTGGACATTGGCACACCTTACAACCGAATCGTGTCATTGCAATCAAAAACAGTCGAACCTAGTCACAAACCGATGTTGACAAGGACAACGTGAGAGAAAAAAGGTAGGCAATTTTGAGCTAACAAAAGCATTGAAATACGCGAATTCCAATGATTTAGCCTTGTATCTACTCAATTTAACAAAAAGAAGTGTCAAAGAATGCCAGAATTAATAGACATATTTGGTAAAAGTTTACGAGATATGATTGCGTAAGATACTGTCCTTGACCGTCGTATGATACTGACAAACATCAACTCTTTTGATGAGATGATACAATCAAAACCCGTCGGTAACTAATGTTTTTGTTTTACCACTAGAACGTTTTGTGAGTGTTAGGATCCAACAAACCATATTAAACAAACTGCATGTAATACGCCTGTCACAAGCAACAAAGATGTTTCGTGGTAGTCATATCAATCATTGTTTCGTGTTCAATTTTTGAATTGAGATGTCTTTTAGATAACTGGTGGTTTTGTATAAAATTGTTCACTTTTGAATTATCAGGAGGGCATTAAGAGTTTGTCGATTAGACTGTCTGTTGGTTTTGGGTTTTATTTGTCTCTCCCCATTTGTTTTCTTAGTAAAGGGGAGCCCAAATATTATGCAGATCAAAGTCTTAAATAGGTGGTGCACAATGGCATTATGTCACATGCATAACGATTTTGTGAAAGTTTCATTGAAATTCGTCCACTGGTATCGAGGAGTTGCAGATAAGCGATTGATACTTCATGATACTCAACAATAAAATCTGTTATTCGATAAGGACCCAAATAGAAATATATTTTAATGTACAGTAAAGGATACACATCTCTAATATATATATTAGAATATCTGATGTTTTCACTGAAATCCATTAACAGGTTAAGGAGTATTTGCGTATAAGAGGAAAGGACCCCTAATGTGTAAAACATTTATAGACATTTTTGGATAAGTGAACTCCCAAAAATGGTAATATTTTTTTATTTGAAGTAGGATGAGCACATCTCTAAATAAATGTATATGTAAGAATGTCTGAGTTTTCATTGAAATCCATTCACATGTAGAAGTATCAGCATTCGCCATGCACCATTCGGGTGTACCATCAGTTTCCTGGTTTGGGTAAAAAACTCTTACATGCCGAGAAAGCGTTAACTGTCTCTGCTAAGCCAGTATATGTCGTGTAATGTGGTACAATTCTAAATATTTTCTCATCGGAAATTACAACTCCTAAGTCAACCCAGTCACAGTGTAAACACAGAAAGTTGAATAGAAAAAGTATGTACGGTCATTTTAAAGTAAACAAGATGTTCGAAATGACTGCTGATTATGGCAAGCCGTTTTACTATTTATTCTAACTTCAAGATATCTCATATAATATAAAAGGAATCTTATATAATCAGTTTTTATAAGATATATTATCTACTTGATATTTTATAAGATATCTTGATACTTTATAAGATACCTTCCAAAGTTTTTGAGATATCTTCTAAAGTATATAAAATATCTTATAAAGTTTGAAAGATATCTTATAAATATCTTTTTTTCATAAGATATCTAATATACTTTATAAGATATCTTATTAACTTTATAAGATATCTTCTGAAGTTTATAAGCTATCTTATAAAGTATATAAGATATCTTATTACGTTTATATTTGATATACTTTATAAGATATCTCATATATTTTATAAGATATCCTATATAGTTCATAAGATATCTCATAAAGTTCATAAGATATCTCATATAATTTATTAGATATCTATAAAGAAATTTTTATGAGATATCTTATGAATTATATGAGATACTTTATAAACTATATAAGATATCTTATAAACTATATAAGATATCTTATAAACTATATAAGATATCTTATAAACTATATAAGATATCTTATAAACTATATTAGATATATTATAAACTATGGGAGATTTCTTATAAACTATAGGATATATCTTATAAATGACTGTACAAACTCACGTATTTCAAATGAACAAACACTTCTGTTATACACTATGACAGTTTAAACGTTTTATGTTGACGTCGTTCTATATGATTTACCAATCGATTTGCTATCCTGAATAATAGTCATCATATTGAGTTTTGCTCACTTCGATCACTCCTCGACAGATGGAGAAAATTAAAATTCTTGAGATTTCGAATGTAGAAAACCTTTCACAGATCACCCATCTTTACATATTGCCATACTAAAACACATTTTACAGCTTTGATGCTGTATATTAATCTATTCTACATATTCACACTTAAAACCATTGATTCTTCGACACATTTTTATTTTCTCACGAAATTTCGTTCACAAATAAGTTAGTGGTGACATTATACCTTACCTAAGTAGCAAATTAACAATTTATATGACATCCTTCTTAGATATAACACAATGCATGATCCGGTTTGTTTTAAGAATTGCGAGAGCAAATGAAAAAATAAAATAATACCTACGGATTTCTGTCAACAACGGTTTGTGACCATGTCCGACGGTTTTTAATTACAATGACACAATTTGGTTGTACGGTGTGATTAACCAAGAAACAATCTATCAATCGGTCAAGCGGAATACAACGTTATCAATCATAGTGTTTTATTCTTACATTCAGTTGATCTTTAAATATTGTAGAAAATTGAGTTTTATATCAATAAAAACGTTACCATCATATATGTCTGCCAGGCCGAATCCCCAAATACAAAATATCATCCAATGAAAAACAAGGAATGACCTGTGCCCATAAAACACTGCCTTTATATCATACAGTTGATTCCGCCTGCACAACAAGACACACGTGTTAATTTTTCTTTCACTATATATACAGAGAAGACTTTTTTATGTAGTGTGAAATTTGTAGGTATCCCCTATATTATTGTTTATATTATAATATTGTGTACACTTAGTATTTTACTTCGCAATTATGGAGTTTAACGCTTCTAGTCCGTTCGAAGCCATTTCAGGCAATGCTGTTTTATAGATGGACCGTTACCCTTCCCTGTGGCTTCGACAACGGTAAGTCAGGGAGTACCTCCTAATACTTATAGTCAATCAACCGACGTTTTAACTTCGGTGACTAGTAATACCAGTCAGCACACACTGAATGCAGGTTCTGTCGGTTATGATAGAGGTATCCCTACAATGACCACCAAAACAGTCTCTAGGCTAGTTGACACCACCGGTTCAGTTTAATCTTACCCTGGTATCTCTATAGGTTTATGTTTTCCTGGTTCTAGACCCCTAGCTTTATACTGTTGTTTTACTTTGCCTGCTTCGGCTTATAAGTCCATGTCATGGTCTAGACCTTCATGTCCTCAGGAATATCCTTATTCGGGTTTTCCTGGTCAGGGTTTTCCTGGTCAAGCTTTTCCTGGTCAGGCTTTTGCTGGCCAGATTTCATAGGTTTCTGGCCTTATTGTCTGTTAGTCCATACTCCTTATGAAGTAGTGACATCTAGTTGTAGTGTGTCTGTACCTGCTCTTGTGTCTACCTCTTCCGTTAGGCCCTGGGGTAATAAAGTTTCTGACTCTTGCCCCCTTCTTAGATGGATTGAAGAGCATGCCTAATTTACTGAGCAGTTCCGTTCTAAAGATTACGATATCGTTGATTTTTCTTTGGGTAAGTTGGTACCTGTTTTATCGTCTTCTATTACTTCACAACCTTCTGATGGAATGCGTCTTTCTCAGTCTGTGAGGTCCAAAACAGAGAATCTTCTTGTTTTAGGTACTGCTGAACATTTTTTGTCTGCAATTACTCCTGTACTAAAGGACTCGTCACTTCCACTTGAGGTCAAGCTTTTTCTTTTACAGGTTGACGATGCTTTAGTTGCATCTCGGTTATTGATTATGGATTCTATAGCCAACTGTACCTTATCCAAAAGATCTGAAATTTTGGAGAAGCCAAAAGTCTCAAGGATGCTTTGATCTGTATAAAAATAGGGAGATGTGGTATGATTGCCAATGAGATAACTATCCATCCAAGTTCAAATGAAAAAGATGTAAGCAATCATGGGCCACCGTACAGCCTTCAACAATGAGAAAAACCCATACCATATAGTCGGCTATTAAAGGCCCCGACATGAAAATATGGAACATTTCAATTAAGAAAACTAACGGCCTAATTCATAACAAAGCAATTTACGAAAAACAAATATGACAGACATGGACAAACGACAACCACTGAACTACAGACTCCTGACTTAGGACAGGCACATAAAGAATGTGGCGGGGTTACACATGTTTGTGAGCGCCCAACCCTCCCCCTCACCTGGGACAGTGGTGTTACAGCACAACATAAGAACAAACTATAAAAATCAGTTGAAGATGGCTTTACTTATCAGATCGATACAAAGCAGAAAACCATCTAACAAAAACTTAGACCGGACGTGGCAGAGTATTTATACATCCCTTACAACAAAAGACACAAAGTACAGATCTGAGAGTACTCCCAGCTACTGACAACTAGTTCAAAGCCAATAGCAACTAATAAAAGAAGTCATGTATCTGAGACTAATTTATCAAACAGTACACATCCAACATCCAATTGATTTAGTGTAAAGACGATTAAGTTTCCTTTAGACGATAATATTTTCGGTTTGCCACTTAACGAGGTTCGGAAGAACCTCAGTCAAACCTCTGCATCAGTTAATGTGAACGTTTCTCTCTCTGGTAATAATTCCAAGCGATGTGTTTTTTCTTCTGCTGGCGGCTCATCCTTTACTTCTAAAGAGAAGAGAAAGAAAGAGACTAGTGATGGAGGTAATACATGTGGTCTTAAGAAGTCTTCAGTCCCAAGGTCTAAACGAGGCAGTTTCAAGAGAGAGGTCTAGAGGGCCAATCCTTCTTTCTAGAAAGTAGCCCCCTCGTACTTTGCTGATCCAATCCAGGAATTTATTACAAAACTCCTCTTTCTCAAATACCAGTAGGGGGAGGTTAACTCATTTTCTAAAAATTGGACAAGTATTACCTCAGATGGTTTGGTTCTGTCAGTAATTCGAGGGGGGTTGACTCTTCAATTCAGAAAACAACCTTTTCTTTTTCCTGTTCTTATCCCACTGTCCAATACTTCTGTCGACCGAAGTAGAGACCATTTTGACAAAGAGGGAATAGGAGGAAGTCCCTGTATCCTCATAAGATCCAGTTTTTAATCCCGTCTCTTCCTTGTTTCGACGAAGACAGGAGGAATAAGACCAGTCATCGACTTGTCTATCCTCAATTCTTATCACTTATCACTTATCACTGTCAGACTTGCGCAGATGGACCTACTCAAAATTTATGATGGTAAGTATTTATGTTATAAAATCTTATTTTACTTTAAAAATGTACAATTTTAAACGTGAACACTCATCTTAACTTCTGCTGGAAAAAAATGGAACACGCGCTCCTAAGTAAACAGTTACATTTGAATCTATACTTACTTTTTTTCTACTACAACATTGGTGGGGAATTGTATCATTAGATGTGTCAGGTAGTAACCCTTTGAATTCGATAACAGTTTGGTTCTCCATCAATCAAAACCTACAAATTGCACCATATTTTGAATATTTATTTATTTATGATTGTTTCGCGTACATTTTTAGTTGTTACAGTGTCAAGAGAGCGTATGTGTACACGTTTAAGCGGTGATCCTTGCGACTTCGTATATTTAAATATAAGTTTCAAACGGTTTTTGCAAAAAAATGGAAGACCCATTTTTGTTGATATAAATATGTTCACATACATATGAATATCACACACTTAACGACAATAATGATTATGCTATCGTTTATAATAAGGCCATATCCGCATATTCTCGTGCGCTCTGGGGTAACAACCGTTTATTAGCCTTTGTTGATATACATTGAATTGTTAAAAATTAATAGTTGAAACAATTTTATCAGTAAGATATGCTTTATATTTTCATTGTTGATTTGATGTTTGTTTAGTTTATTCTCTATTGTCTGTCAATTTTTTGCCTCTGTTGATAAAAGATTTGAAAAAAAATAAGTGATTAAATTTTACTTTGTTGGACTTGATTTTCCAAATCAACTTGGTTTTAAACTTATAGGAACTCATCATTACAAAGATTTATAAACATGCACGTACAACGACAATAATTCCATATACTAGTATTACTATATTGGTCTAAGTATCAAACTGATAAAAGATCTGATATCAGTTTGGTGATTTACTAATTTGGAACCTAGAATCATTAAGTATATAAGAAATATATCAATACATTGTATATACCTTATAGACACGATTATCATCACAAGACTCCCATATAATGTATGTGCGTGTGTGTACATTTATGGTGTGTGTATGTATGTGTTTTATGTGTAATGTATGGTGGCATTAGCCTTGTAATGATAAGCCAAGTTATTAGACGAAAAAACTCTGTAGTAAAGTATCACATATTTCGACAATGATGTGACTACGTCATCGACAGATACAAAGACAAGGTTTTCTATCTACATGACATATAACAAGAGTTATAGTTTGTATTTATATCACATAGAAATTTCAAGAGATTCCTTATAATTATTCAATTAGCTGAGGCATTCCAGAAGTTCAAGTTTACTTCCGTAATATAAAATTAATGTCTTACCTAGTTTTTTGAGCTGTAAGCAAATCAACTAAACATAAGTGACTTTTAACACTAATGTTTGCAACTTTGAACAATATCATTAAATAAGTTTTCAGTGTGTGTTGGAAATTCTCATATTTTTTAAGGAGTTCTAGCTAATAATTTTTGATAAGGCGAACTGTGGTCTAAAAATAGACATCGTCTACGTCATTGTTTAAGTATTTAACAAATAAACGTATATATCTATTCAAAACAGTGTCTGAGTTTCTTTTTTTATGTTTGTTGATAACCGACAGTTCACTCTATTAAAAAAGTATGGTTATTTAGAAGTAAAAGTTATGTTTAAAAATATATTTGTTCTTACAAAATTTTACGGAATACAAGTTTCTAGGTTCATAATACTTAGTACTTGACTTTTTTCAAGTGACTGTACTTGTGTCATGCACTTATCCATGAATTAACTTTAACCCGGAAATTTACCTTTATCCATTATTCCATTAACCGGAAACAAAACTTTTTTTAAATATTTTTCAACAAAGCAAAATATTTTATAGTAGGTCTTTCGATAGGATATATAGTTAAGTAATAAATATTTTGGATGAGTAGAACTATGATAATTGGAATAAAATGCACAAATATTGAATTAATCCTTATATGTAAAGGGAGAATTCTGTAAAAAATTGTATTAAATGTTAAGGGGGACAACTGCAACGTTTTACTCTTAAACGGCTTCCTCTAGTACTGCTCATTGTATGATTTATGGAGAATTGGGTAGAATATCATTACATATTCTTATTAAAGCTAGAATGGTTGGTTTCTGGCAACGTATCATGTGTGGTAAAAGAGAAAACATTTCATATACACTGTATTCTATATTGTATCAGCTTAGTAAAAGGGGTTTCTACCACTCTAAATGGTTGTTAGAAATTAAAAATACTTTAAATGAACGTGGATTTAATTTGATGTGGGATGATCAAATAATTGCTAAATCTCATAATATTAGTAAGAATGTTAAGAAATGTTTGAGTGATAAATTTATGATGAACTGGAGTAATAATGTTATGAATTCTGCAAAATGTCTTAATTACAGAATATACAAATCTGATTTTTGTTTTGAGAAATATTTATCGGTGTTACCATCTGATCTAAGAATGTATCTATGTAAATTCCGTTGCCTTAGTAATAAATTGCTCGTTGAAACTGGTAGATTTTTTAATATTGATAGAACTGAAAGACATTGTAATCTCTGTAATGCTAATGAACTTGGTGATGAGTTTCATTACTTATTCAAATGTAACTTTTTCAACAATGTAAGAGCTAAATTTTTACCTTTAAATATATGTAATAACCCAAATGTTTTAAAATCTAAAGATCTGATGAATACATCAGATTTATTTACACTTACTGGAATAGCAAAATTTTGCAAAAGTGTTATTGAAACCTTTTAATACTTGTGCTTAATCATGTTACTATAATTTTTACTTCCTGTCACATATCAGTATTAATTATATATTCTATTATTGCACCTTTGTTTACCATGTTGTTCTAATGTAAATATGTTCACACTTTTATTGTTTGTTAAAAAATGTTGTACTAACATACATCATGTGGGGGCTTTAGTGAAATAAAATGTCTTATGTCTTATGTCTTATGTTGTCAGGCAAAATTGCAAATCAAGATCTGGAGGTATATGTGTTCTAGTCAGAGATTGCTTTTGTAAATATGTTAAGATAAATGATCCTATTATTTGTACTAGTCATTGCGTTCTCTGGTTTACTGTTGATGACATGTTATTGTTTGAGAAAACTTTCTTTGGAGTTGTTTATATCCCACCAGAAATAGCCATTATAGTGATATTGATATGTTTAGAGAAATTGAAAATGTCATTGTTGATAAAACACTGCAAGTTTGCATGCTTGGTGATTTTAATGCACATACGAAAAATGCTAATGAATATGTTAATATTGATAATCACATATTAAATGCTTGTAATATAACAAATGATGACCAAGTATTGATTAACAAATTGTATATTTTAGAAGAATGTAATGTTTCTCCTGTTCGATTCTCACAAGATAATTGTAAAATTGATAGATATGGTAAAAGGTTATTAGATTTATGTAAAAGTACACAACTTTTTTCTGTGAATGGTCGTGGTGGATCTGATCGTGGTAAAGGTCAACTACATGTAACAATTCTGTAAATAATTATGTGATTGTTTCACCAGAGTTTTTCAGATCTGTTATTGATTTTAATGTATTAGCATTTGACCCCATGTTCAGTGATGTTCATCAGCCTGTATGTTTACATTTGTGATCAAATATTAGACCTAATTGCACTATTAGTGATACAGACATAAATGACTCGGATATTGTAATCACCTGTGAAGGTGAATCTCATGTGCACACCAAGTAAGATTGTGACCTGGTTTGTTCCAGGCTCACCCAGAGAATATGTTTTGAAATGGTTGTGTCATTCAATGAAAATTAATCCAATAAGGAGTAAATTGACGATTTACATCACTTTATTTTCTGTAGAACTTATCTAGTTAATAATTTCTGCTGTTCATAGTGTCGTACTATCTATTATAGTTTTCAAGGTAATAGCCAACAGGAAAGTATGTCTTGTAAACACCATGCCCCGCATGCACTATGATATTTCGATGTTTACTGAACCTCGAAAGTTTGGTAAAAACCCTAACTTGTCTTGTATTTTTAAAAAGTTCACATCTTAATAAAAATGTGAACGCAGTTTCAAGTAAATGTAGACAAAAAAAGGCAGCTTTATATGGGATGGACAGACGGACGGCCTGTGGTGGACATGGTGGACGAACAGATATAAACCATATTGTCATTAATGTTGTCATCGGCGGAATTGCTCTTTAACTTTATCTTAAGAATCACGTATCTTAATTTGAATGTCAACAGGACATCGGTTTTGCATACCCAATATCTAAGGTAACTTAATGTCAACTTACAGATAAAGGAAAAAAAGAGAGATTTTTATTTTACTGTCATTTCAAATTTTTGGAGTGAGAAAGCAAGAAGAAGAATGTATATGGTTTTTTGCAGGGTATCCAATTGCATGTTGTCTAATGCACTACATTTCCTTTTCTTAATGTTTTAATAGCCAAATACTATGATTGCTTGGATTTCTTTTATATTGTTGAAAAGACCTCTTTTATCTCTTTGGCTTTTCTAATGGGAAATATCTTAAAATAATGGTTTTTTTTTACTCCTGTGGAAATCTTAATTATTTTATAATTTCCCATAATTTTCCAGGATAAATAAACACCAGTGTGCATTCCTTCATTTAGACATTTGCTAAATACTTATTGACATAAGCCTTGTACAAAGTGTTTATGCATAGTGAAATATCAAAATAATAGTTGTGAATGACTAATTTTATATTTATTCACTTTTTTATTATATTTGATATCACATCCAGTATTCCAGTTTCACTATTTGAAATAATATTTGAAATATTTTCCTAATTTTATTCACTTTTGGAATATTTTCTTACATTTTTTACTATATCACTAGGTTTTTACTATATCCACAGTATTATGTTAAAATTCTCAGATATATATGCCAATTAAACAGGTGCAGAGTCTTTATATTAGATCAAGAATTTTGTAATTTTCTATTAATTCCAATATCACATTCAAAATAATTATCCTCACTTTACAATATTTTTTAGGAATATTTTAATCATATGTTTCACTATATCACTTGATTTTACAATATCCACAGTATACAGTTTTTATTTCATTTCCCAGGGTATAACATGTATATCTCAATCAAACAATATAAGATCTAGAATTTATGATAATTATTTCCAATATCACATTCAAAATTTTTATCCTCACTTTATGAATTTTTTAGAATATTTTTATTTCATTTTTCACTTGATCACTAGATTTGACTACATCCACTGTATTCACATTTTC